GGAGGGAAGGATAGTAGAGGCCAAGATGAAGTACTTTGGCCACATCATGAGAAGAAAGGAAAGCTTAGAGAATATAATGATGCTTGGGAAAATGGAAGGAAAAAGGAAGAGGGGCCGACCAAGGACAAGATGGATGGCTGTCATCCTTGAAGTGACTGGATTGACCTTGAAGGATCTGGGGGTAGTGATGGCCGACAGGGAGCTCTGGAGTGGGCTGGTCCATGAGGTCACGAAGAGTCGGAAACGACTGAACGAATGAACAATAAATCTATCTATAAGCTTTGGATAGGATAGGGAAGGGTTAACACGTTTATTTTGCTGTCTGTGTCCCTGTTCAAAAGATTTCACCTCGCTTTCTGTCCCGGTGATAATTGGATTTTGAAAAATTTGACTTGTTGCAGAAACAAAAATTGATGATAAAACTTAAGTAGAGACCGATTTTTCTCATAATAATAACTCTTTCAGGAGTGAATTTTTCTTCTTAGGGGTAGATTTCTACCATTTCCTGTTGTCTCACTCCTGTTCTTAACTATGAGTCATTTGTAAGTTGGATGTTTGTATCTTGGGGACAGCCTGTATTGTATTCCCTATACTTCCACACTGACATGTACAGGCTTGTGTGTGTATATATGCATGTGTATATGTCCACATATGTATATATTGGGGGAGAGACAGTGTAGATTCAGTTCTTCTGGGCTTCATGCTGTATGCTTAACGACGAGTTTTTCAAAAACATTTTAGTCATTTTAACAGAGTATACACTCAGGGTATAGGGTGGCAACCTGTGCTTGATGGGGTTACACTCCCCCTGAGGACACAGGTCCGTAACTTAGGGGTCCTCCTGGACTCCACGTTGTCACTTCATGCTCAGGTGTTGGTGGTAGCCGTGAAAGCCTTTGCACAATTAAAACTTGTGCGCCTCTTCCTTTTTTTGTTTTGTGTTTGGACCTTTTGAAATCTTATCAAAGACTTGGCATAAAACACAGGCATGAATAGAGTATGAGATACGATTGTGTGATTTTGTGCATTTTTTCTAAAGAGGCCGCAAATACATTTCTTGCTGCTACTAAAGGTAGTAGAAGCTGAATTAGGGATGGGGAGCTACGGAGCCCCCGGTGGCACAGTGGGTTAAACCCCTGTGCTGACAGGACTCAAGACCAACAGGTCGCAGGTTCGAATCCGGGGAGAGGCAGATGAGCTCCCTCTATCAGCTCCAGCTCCTCATGCAGGGACATGAGAGAAGCCTCCCACAAGGATGATAAAACATCAAATCATCCGGGCGTCCCCTGGGCAACGTCCTTGCAGACGGCCAATTCTCTCACACCAGAAGCGACTTGCAGTTTCTCAGGTCGCTCCTGACACGACCAAAAAAAAAAGGGATGGGGAGATTGATTGACAAGTAGTTAAGGCACTATTAGTTTGATCAAATTCTAATTGGAGCAGAAAATGAGATATGAACCACTTATTGGGGCAGTATTGTGACATTTTAACAATAAATTAAGGGAATAAACATTTTTTTGAAAATTAATTTAGTAACACTACCCCTTATTTAAGAGATAAAGGATCCTCTTTGCGGTTATGAATTTTTACAATGTTTGTGTGTTTGACTGTGCAGAGACCCACCTCAAGCGATAAGGAGAGGTGGGTAAGAAATAAAATCATCATCAAAATAGTCATCATCAAGTGGCAACAACTCTGCTTTGAGAATGTGCCCTTTTTGTCTAATGCCAAAGGATTTATGTAGGGGTTGATAATTTTGATGTTGTGTGTATATAGAATGGTGGACCTTGAGCAATATGCTTCTAGGAGAAATTGCTTCTCCAACCATCTGAGGCCCCTTCTACACTGCCAGATAATCCAAGTTGTCAAAGCAGAAAATCCACATTATCTGATTTGAACTGGATTATCTTAGTCCACACTGCCATATAATCTATTTCAAAGCAGATAATGTGGATTTTATACAGCTATGTAGAAGGGGCTCCAGACACTTGTTTCATAAATTCTCATAGTGCAAGAGCCAGATTCGTCAGATACACGAACACATGGAGATTTTGTATCATGAAAGTCATAAGGACAACTCTGCAGATGTCAGCCCCTTGGTGGTGGCAACTTGGACCTTTGCCAGTTGATTTCCATAATCAATTAATTAGAATTCAACTATATTGTTTTATAAAATAAATAGGTCAGCAGAGACTCTTCAGTGTTAACTATTAGGTCAGAGACTGAGTTATACCTGTAGGCTTTGGTTGAGGAGGGCCAAGGTGGTTTCCCCAGTTTTCAGACACATGTTGGAATGAGATATCTTATCATCCAACAGCATGATGCACTACAGATGTATTTTCCTATATCATCCTCATCCAGTATGGACATTATGATGATTTTTGTCAAGACAAAAAAGTCAAAACAAAACACAACTAGATTGGAACTAATTTCTCCTTCCTTCTTTTGCAGCAAGTAACAGGAAGAACATTTGGTGATAAAGATTTCCGGTTGGGGCTGGAAAACGGTGTCCTGCTGTGTGAGTAAGTACTGTTACAAATTGACCTACTACTTTTTAGTTTAGTTTGAGAAGTCCGCTGTAGCTCTGGGGATAAAATCTATGGAAGAGCTGGCTTGTTGGTGTAGTCATGAAAAAATTGCACAATTTATCTAGATTTCCCTTTTGTATGTGCTCTAAAGTAGACTATGATAGGATTTGCTTAGAAGAAAAGTTGGTTTCCAGATGTTGCTGTACATACCTGCTGCTCAGAATCAACTAATCTAAAGACAACCTCTTATGTGGAGCACCTAAAACCTAAATAATTTTAGCGAAGGAAACAACTTGGTCGCATTATCAAGATGTTTTGGATATTTAGTAATTGGGTGTTCATGTTGTGTGTTTCAAAGTATGTATGCACATCTGGTGGAATATCTTCCATTCTTTATGTAATGTTTCCTTTATACACTTCACAAGGGAGGCTCTTAAGTAGTATCCAGGGTTATTTAATATGCAGGGTTCTCTTCTTGCTATTATTTATTTATTTATTTACAATATTTATAGCCTGCCTTTCTCAGCAATACAGCGACTCAAGGCGGGTTACAGGCTTGCACAATTCAATGCCATACATTCACAAAAGAGCAGTTAAAAACAATCAACATAACAGTGTAAACATATATATATAAGCCAATAAAATGTGTACACTTCTTGCTAGCAGAAATCAGGAATCTTTTGTAGTATCTCCAGATTGATCAGCTGTAGTATTCCCAGATGTTTTGCTTTCAGTATCCAGAACATTTTCTGGAATTAGTTTCCAGAGTTTCAGAGGTTGTGAGGTCCTCTTTGCACCCTCCTGACACGAGGAAACATTAGGAAACATATCAAATTCAGAAACAATAACCAACATGGGTACAAACTGGTTTTGTTCTCAACCAGAATGTAAATAACATTTGCATGTTTCCTCATCTATGACGCTCTCCCAATTGATTCCCTCTCCAAGTGTTATTACGCTTTCATGAAAAATTCAGTTCCGCGAAATACATTATTTTCATATAAAACCATTATATTTGTGTTTTCAGCACAAAAAAGTGTTCCCTTCACAATGTCAATATCGTAGCTGCTTTTACGAAACATATTTCGGTTGTTGTAGGTTTTTTCGGGCTATATGACCATGTTCTAGAGGCATTCTCTCCTGGTGTTTCACCTGTATCTATGGCAGGCATCATCCTCAGAGGTTGTGAGGTCCTCCTTGCACCCACCTGACGTGAGGAAACATATTTGTTTGCAAGTGTGAAAATCACTGGAAAGTGCATCAAAAGTCTTGTATTCCTGCCACCCCGTGTGGGAAAAACATTTTGAAATTATTCAATTTTGAGTGAGAGAATAAAAAATATGAGAAGATATTTTGATAAAAAGTAAAGCATGTTTGTTGCATTAGTGACTAGACTCTTCACGGAAGATGACATGTTTAGTATTGGAAAATTGAAACACTGGAGGCAGGGACGACAACAACAATGACAAAATGAATTGTGCTCCCAAATGAAATTTTATTGACTCCCCAATTTCTAGCATTACGGTAACATAAAAAGAAAAGAGCAGGCAAACTTACCAAAGGAATGTGAATATGGGAAATAGACAGTTCCTGGTGTGAACAATGTTCAGTGTCTCACCTTCTGCAATACTAAAAATTTGTGGACTAAAGGCAAATTTCACGAGGAGGCACAATTCTAATTTTTGGGATAAATCCTGCATTTTGCCCACTGCCATAGCCACACATCTGTAGTGTGTTTTGTGTTGTTGATCTAAACTTTTAAATTCTTGTGTTCGCTTCTACTGCACTAGCCACACCTTTCTGAATGGCTCTGAGAATAGTGCTACATCATTATGACACAATTTCCATGGAATTTTAAGAAATATGGCTGAGAGGCTACAAATACCCTGCTTCTAAAAAATAAAAGCAATTTTCTTTTTTTCAATTGTAGGGAAGAATCATAAACCTGTCCCACAACATTCTAGAAATTTCTCAAAAAGCAGGTGGATTTTTGCCTTTATTCCAATTTTATCATAAGTAACATTTGGCATCCCTCTGTGCCAGGGAGTCAACAGTAAAGGCGCTTCCAGACAGCACCAAAATCCAAACCGAAGTGGGTTTTGAAAACTCACATTGGCATGGATTTGTGTTCTCACTCCCACAGATAAACCTGGGCTGTCCCAGGGGGTGGGGGGTGGCTACATGCCATCGCATTTACTATCAGAATGGCATACAGCTACCTCAAAGGCCCCCAAACTTCCCCCTAAAAGTAAAATAAAACTTGCTTGGCCACCATAACCTTCCTCCTTGCACCCTCCTGGCATGAGGAAATGAAGTTCAAGGAGACAGGGGGTGGGGGATGAGGGGAATCGCTTCTGGCCTCCCCTATCTTCTTGCACATCATTGGTATGTTCCATCAGGCCTGAAGATAGGTCTAATGCCCCCTCCGGTAAGTTTTCTTTTTCTTTTTAAGGATTGAGGGCGGATTGGGAAGGGGACGAGCAACATCTTTGGACTCCGGGAGCCCAAAAGGCACAAAATGGGTGTGTGGACAGGCCCCCGGGTAGTCCTGGGACTACCTGCGGACTGTCCTCATAGGGCCCATAGACCATTAGACGCACATCTTTCACAAAGGTGAAGGTTTAATGGGCTATCAAATTAATTTGGGATTAAGCAGGGTTTCTCTGCTTTCTTTCAAATTAATCCTCTTTTACTGGAGGTGTTATTTGGACGCCTCCAGTAAAAATGCGAGAAGGCCTGAGACATGGGCCGTGTCTGGATGGACTCAGATCTGGGTCTTTCAGAAAAGCCTGGATCTAATGGGGTATCTAATTAATTCAGAATAACTTAGCGGAAGATGGCGTAGAGTTAAACACCCTGATAATGTCACTCCATGGGTTTCTCACTAAGAACTTCTGAATTAATTCATTTTTATCTGAGGCATGATTTGGACACCTCTGGTAAAAACCCAGGCAGGTCCCAGCATATTGGCCTGTCTGGATGAGCCCTAAGATGTTGGAGAAAAGACATCATTTAAAATTACGTGAATTTGGACAGATATTTCCCGTAAGAACCATGCCAAACTGTCTGAAAACATTCACAAATTGAAAGGTTTGCCTTCCCCCACCACCAGAATCCCACTCACGCTATTCCTTTGGCTGTAATTTGGTCAGAAATGGTAACTGGAAGCGACATTTTATATGTGTCTTTCAAAAGTATTTGAAAATAGCAACTGGGAAAATAGTGTGTATAGTACAGTTAATACAGTGACGGCTAAATGTAGGAGTGCCTAGATCTGCAAGTGTGAAAACTGTTTTGAGAGGCTGTTCATTTTGGATGTTTTTAAAAAAATACTTTTGTCTCTCCTGACATTACTAGTTTCCATTGCTAACACAGCTGTGCTTCAGCTTGAGCCTCTTTTGTTTTCTAAGGAATGATTTCATAGCTTCTGGCACAGTAATTTGGATTGACTTTTACTGCATACAGAAATTTTAGCAGGAGCTGTCCTTTTGTGCCAGAGAGAAAAGGGGTAATTCCCATTACATTGCAGTTCGTTTTTCTTGTGTTAGTGTTTCTGTAGAAAAGATCACAGTTGCCCCAATTCTTCCCATTTTTCTCCCTGAGCAGAAATTTTGCCAAGATTTTCCTTTCCCCTCTCCTCCTTTCCACAAATATACAAAGCTCTTTCTTTGTGGAGAACTTCTGGTGGTGGAATTGACTCCCCTAACCACGTTTCAACACTGTTCCTCTAAGTGAGGCCCGCATTGGTAGATCTGCTAGAAAGTAATGTCTTCATGTCAAACTGTCTCCCACTGTAATGTCTCATAAACTTGGATTTCCAGATGTTGTTGCAGTAACCTCAGGGCATTTTTATACTGACTAGATATTCTACAACAGTGATTCTCAACCTGTAGGTCCCTGGGTGTTTTAGCCTACAACTCGCAGAAATACCAACTGTTAGGATTTCTGGGAGTTGAAGGCCAAAACATCTGGGGACCCACAGGTTGAGAACCACTGTTCTAGAAGTTGGCAGTCCAATAAGATCTGGGGCTGAATTCTGGGAGCCACTGGTTTAGAAGAAAACTCAGAATCATGTAGCCTTTTAGATGTTGTCTTCTGCCATCTCACCCCTGTTCATAACTATGAGTCATTTGCAGGGGCGGCTCAACCCATTACGCAAAGTAAGCATTTGCGGTATAGTTGATTTTGCCCAGGGGCGCTCTTGAGGCGCTCTTGGGGGAAAATAGACCTTGACATATGCGAGTTGTAGTTACTGGGATGTATAGTTCACCTACAATCAAAGAGCATTCTGAACTCAACCAATGATGGAATTGAATCAAATATGGCACGCAGAATTCCCATGACAAACAGAAAATATGTATCAGTGATTGGTTGGGGGGGGGGGCAAAATACTGTTTGCTTACCATTGAAAATTACCTAGGGCCGCCTCTGGTCATTTGTAAGTTGGATGCTTGTAACTTGAGGAATGCCTGTACTGGAATTACGGTCCAAAAACCTCTGGATTCTGGTGTAGTTATTTGTATAGTAATACATAGTGTATTTCTCTGTTCATGCTGGGGATTACTGGCTGTATCTGTTGGGATTTGGGAAGTGTATGATGTCATGGAATCATAATATTAACTGAATGATACATTAGAAAGGGGTAAATCATTACACAAAGAGGATTTTTGTTGGCTGCTTCATGTTTCCTCTATTGCGGAGGTCCACTCTGTAATACATATATATATTGCTTGGTTTGGATTTAGGAGCTTCAGATATATGAAGATTATTTCAAAGCTTTGGGGTAGTAGCTATTTCTGATCTCTTTAACAGTAAGCTGTCCATTCCAAAAGCTTAATATTGGTATGGCAGTGGTGGTGGTTGTGATGGTTGATGATGATTAAACAGTATACTGAATCCTTATCAATTAAGACACAACTAAAGAGCCAGCTCTTGCGGCAGGCCCACCTGGTCGATTTTGTGAATTTTAATCTGCATTTTAACTTGTATTTTAA